GTCATCGCAACCCACCGATGGTGGGTGCGATGGCATCCGACTGGTGGTCGTCGCGAACGATGCTTTGCTGGGCGCATCGTTACACATTTTTATTGCATATTCTTGTAGTTTACTTCGAGAGCTTTTCAAAACACTATAATAAAATATTTTTTCTTTAAGTACTTTTTGTGATATGAGAATTGAAAGTTACAGTACCGCCAGCATTACCATTACCCAAGGTGTTCGATGGCTAAAAACCTCTTGAATGTTGTTCAGGATTGTGACCTAGATAACATTCGTCAAGATCAAGGCTATTGGAGGTTGTTCTTCTTATTTTCATTTTTGCACTAAAAATTCATTTTTACGTAAGAATGAAAATAGGAACAATTACCAATGGTCTTGATTTTGACAAATGTTATCCGTGTCATGATCCTGAACAACATTTAAGAGATTTTTAGCCATTGGACACCTTGGGTAATGCTAATGCCGGCGATACTGTAACTTTCAATTCTCATAACAAAAAGTACTTAAAGAAAAAATATTTTATTATAATGTTTTGAAAAGTTCTCGAGGTAAATTACAAGAATATGCAATAAAAATAAGTGGTTCCGTTTAAGGAAACAACGGTCACATTGACCTAGCCTTGAAAAGGCTACTCAAGGTCAAGTTCATATTTTCATCACATGTCCTCCTTAATGTCTTATAACTTTTACCTAAAACATTTTTCCATATCTAAAACTGTTTCTGATATATGTATATGACCCTGGGTGGGATTTTATAGACATATTAAAATTAAAATTAATATTAAAAGTAATATCAAAATTAAAGAAGAAAAAAATTGTCGTCAATCAGGAACTTGCAATTAGTGCTTTTTACTACAATTTGTGATTTATGAAATTGATTAAGTGTTCATTAAGTATTATATTTCAATTATGAAGAGTTCAGAAGTTTATAATTTTGGGAATATATTTGGGAATATCGTTATTCGTATCCTTTTACCCTAATAATACACAAATTACATATATAAAAATCTGCTTTTATATGCTATGTGTCCCACAGGATACTTTTATCTTTAAAATGTTTAATCAATTTCGTGAGAAACTGTAGAGATGATGTATTTTATCTACATGTGCTTCAACATTGTGTTTTCAATGATATTGATTCGAATCTGTTCTTTGTTTCTTGCAGGTATCTGCAGGACAAATTGCCCTTCATTGACCGTACCAGAACGGCGATATGGGGCTGGAGTTATGGTGGATACGCGACCGGCATGACACTCGCTATGGACTTAAAAGGTGTCTTCAAATGCGGCATGTCCGTCGCACCAGTCACAGATTGGGCCCTTTACGGTACGTAATTGACAGGTAATTGATAGAATTAATAACGCAATACGTAAACGTATTTTATCTGATTATTTCAATGGAAAGGAAAATGTTTTAGCATCATAAATCAAAATTATCTTGTGTCTGGATGAGTATTCCATGTAATTCATTAAATTACAATGCACGATAATATAACGGAGTCAGTTTGCGTTCAGCAGTAATAACAAGTAGAAAATGCAGAAGAATAAGAAGTAGGAAAAGCAAATATTCTTGACAAATGAATAAAACGGAAAATATACCGTGCTTTATAATTAGTGCAAAAGCTATAAAGTATTTTCTATTAATAAGGATAGATTTTCGTAACGTTAGAGTTAAAGTACAAAAGAGTTGGTCTCTTTAGCTAAAACTTAATGCTTTTTGCTGATTAATAAATAATTAAAATGTAATAAATAATAAAAATTAAAGTAAATATAATAAATAATTAAAAATTAAATCAAGGAAACGTAGTTACATTTAATCAATAAAATCAATAAAATCTATGTTTCTTATCTCTACACCGAGTTAATTTTTATTGAATAATTTGTTTTACATATTCTACTCATTTCAAATTACTTTAAATATATAATGAAAATTAGAAACAATAATTGACTCAAATTGGAGTATTTAATCTTTATTTTCCGATATTAGTACGATTAACATGCGTGAAGCAATATTTTTCCAGCTTAGTATCCTTCGAATAAACGATCATTATTAAGAGAGTTTACTTACGGAAAATGCAGCTTACTTAAAGTAACTTACGTTAAGCTTATTTGGCCTCAAGTTTTGTCTAAGAATTTTTTACGCACCGTCGTTTTAATGAAGAAAAGTATACATTCCGTGGAAAAGACGCGCTCCTGCAGCTTTAATATTACTTTTTCAACTACTTTAAATTCGTGTCAGCATTTATCTCCTTCTGTTAGAACACGCGAGAAAAATACACGTGATTTACAGGATGACGTTAAAAAGACATGCAGCGTCACACTTATGCAATTTCTCCATAAGATATTACGCACCACATAATGGCATAGATCGTTCCTTTTTCACCCTATTTTTATCCGTACGCTATCCTTGTTAATGCGACCATGTTAATTGCTTAATTACAGATTCGATTTATACCGAACGGTTCATGGGTCTGCCGACCGTTACTGATAATCTGCAAGGCTACGAACATGGTCAGCTACTCAATAAGGTCGAGAACATCAAGAATAAGATGTATTATTTGATTCATGGTACTCTGGATGACAACGTCCATTATCAACAATCGCTTATGCTCGCGAAGGTGTTGGAACAGAAAGACATTCTCTTCAGACAACAAGTATCTATTCTTAATAGAGAAATTGAATTAAAAATTATATCTATAATCTAAGTATATTGCAAATCTTTTTTGCTTTTGCAGACGTACACGGATGAAGATCATGGTATCGTCCAGTCGCGAGCGCATCTGTATCACTCGTTAGAGAACTTCCTGGACGAATGCTTTCAAACATCATCATGATCGGAACACGGGATAGTGATGACAATCTAGACGCTGTACACCACCTGCCTCACACTTGTAAATATTTTGTCACGTGTATATAATTTGTGTACGATATGTAATATGCGTTTAGAGAGTGTACATAGCAGCAGTGTACGATTGTTGAGGAAGGATGGGAGAGACAGAGAGAAAGAGAATGAGAGGGGGGAGATGGGCAGGAGGGAAGGAGGAAGATAGGGGGAGGGAGGGGGAGAGGAGATGAGAGAGAGAGAGAGAGAGAGAGAGAGCGCAAAATGTGCAGCGATGGAATAATTAATTAGGTACCAGTGTCGTCGTAAAACTAAGCAGAGCAGGTCTATAAAAAACACATGTTTGATACGTTTTTTTAAAGTACGTACTCGATCAAATGGTGCGTCGAAGGCCTAATAACGGCACGAACTCCGTCGCTTCGCCGTTCAGACCTCACTAGAATGTATTCTGTATCATTACAGTTCGTACTTACATTCTCAGCACACAGGCGTTATTCAAACGTTGTATATTATAGCACATGATATTTCTCAGATGGTCGAATGAACTAATCAACTTGATGTCAACTTGAATAGCAAAAATATAAGGTGCAATCCTGCATGATTTAATTCTTTCACAATACGCTTTTAATGAGTTCACAATTTTTATTATTATATTTAACGAAATTTTTTATTCGTTAATTTCTACTTACATCGTCAAATTAATGAAGAAACGATATTAATCGGCAAGTTCATGCATTAATTAATATAATTCATAATATAAGTCATTCATTATCTGTATGTTGAAACTTTTTTCTCGGGACTTTTCTTAGATAAAGAAAATGTTTTTTTTAAACTTACATTAAATTAATGACGCATATTATCAAACATCAATAATAATTTGACCATCTGGAATAACATGCTTCATATTTATGTGTGTATTAGATTTATTTAATATATATATGTGTGTTAAATTTATTTTTGTGGTTATTGCAATATACCTTCTATTTAATGAAATATTAAGTTGATATATCAGAATGTTCACATATATGAGTTCAGTTAGCATCTTTATAAATGAGATCTCTTAATATTTTTGAAAAAAATACGATTTCAGTGTTGCAAACACGTACGTATACAGGTTGTCTAAAAAGAAACCGAACTTTTGCTCTAGAAATTCTAGAGCATTAATCGCGCCATTAAGTTATAAGGGCAGAATTCAATATTTTGAACATTATATCATTGATCGTGCACAATAATATTTGAAACGGTTCATAACAATTCTTTACATGATATGAAATGCATATTGTGATGGAGCAACGCCCCAATCTTAAGTTTTGCGTGAAACTAAAAGAACTTATTGAAACATTTAAGTTACTAAAACAAGAAACTTAAATATTTCGGTAAAAATTTTCTTTAGTTTTACGCAGAACTTAATGTTGGCGCGTTGCTCCATCACGGTTTCTGTGACGAGGGTCACAAAACAACCGTTGCATTTCACGCCACATAAGGGAACGTTATGAACCTTTTCAAATGCTATTGTGCACGATCGATAATATCATGTTCAAAATATTGAATTCTGCCCATTATGACTTAATGGCGCGAGTAGCATTTTTAGAGCAGAAGTTCGGTTTCTTTCTAGATAACCCGTGTATGTATATTTTGCTTTGTGTGAAAACAAATTAGAAAAAAATATGCTCAAGAATATGCTCAAGAATCACGTAAGAATTTTTTTATGTAACTTGAAAGTCAAGAAAAAATTTTCATATTATTTTTCATATTACAATTGCAATAAAGATTGTTAAAATATATTCAACGTTTCAATGTTTGAAAAATACAACATATGTAAAATAAATTGTTATGTCTATAAATAGATATGTGAAATTGTGAAATTTATTTCAAGTGTATACATAAATTGATCCTTCTTTCACCAATAATATGTTGTTCATCATATATAAAACATATATGCACTTCTTATTACATTTTCCAGATGATGAAATTAAAAAAGCGAAGCTTGTTAAGCGAACGCTGTTGTACTGTAAACACTTTTCGACAATAATACTATCAATGATATTCTGGAATATAATAATTGAAGGATTTTCTACAAAACCAAATAAGTCCATTAAAAAAATTTGAATTAAAGCACAAAATTGTTCTTCATCGGTAGCATGACATCGTAAACGATTTTGTTCTGACAAGGTTGAAACAAAACGGGAAATATAAAGCCTATTCTACAATGTGCTTTTTGTTTTCTGTTTTTTGTTTTGTGCTATTTTTTACATCTTGCCTTTTTGCTTCTTATCCGGTTTTTGTTTTATGTCGCCCGACATAAAAGTTAACGAACTTCGAAAGAAACAGGAAACACGTAGCGAGAAATATAATTGTTAATAAAACGGTTGTAAAGGGGAGAAATGCAAGAAACAGGAAACAAAGAGCACATTGTAGAGTGAGCTTAAGAGTTTAACATTTGCAAAAAATGTTTTTATTAAGAGTAATTTGTAAAACTGTAAATAAAAGGTGAGAAAGTTATTATTTTATAGATTAAATATTTTTTAAAGTATTTCTTCTTTTACTTTTATAATTATTGATATTGTAAAAAAAGGTAAATTTACATTTTTGTGGGCTAAATGGGTTAGTAAATTTAAAATTTGTGCAAGAACCAAACAGGTTCAGAGGCTCTTTGGAAAATTTTTAATATTTTAAGAAATTTTTAATTTTTTTCTCAAAATTTTAATCGAAGCCTAAAATTTTATTTTTGTATATGCCCGATAAAAAATTATTTATTATTTATACAATAAACGGTTTGAAGATGAAATATTTTTTTATTTACTAAAAATTTCACTTTCTAGACTTTACGGTTTTATGAAAAATCCTTCAATTATTACGGCCTACTTGAACGCGTTTACATTTGAACTTAGCATCTATCAAATGATAAAATATATTATGATATTTAAAATCTCGATAATGGCTCTTAATATGCAAAATGTGCTAAATAATGTTTATTTTAATGTAAAAATAAATTTTCTGAACTCATATATGTTATCTTAAGGCTCTGGAATACTCTGCAAAAGTATAAAACTTTTTTGTCTAGAGAAGTAAATCACTATGATATTGATTATTCTGACACGTGATATTAACGATCGCTAATGCTACATAATTGTATGCTAATTAAACAATTATTGACATAATAAAAATTGTATTATATAAGCATAGTTTTGTCAACAACTTTACAACGTTCGCCGACGATGTAACCAATTAATGTACGAAAATCAAAATTTTGTGTACAAAAAATGTGGAAGCCAATCAATTTTTGAGATATATATATTTAGGAATGTATCCTTGAAGCGTAATATACTTTCACAACACTGTTTTGATCAATTGTTATAAAGTTCGTATTTTTTATGAAAGTGCGACAATGTAAGACGCTGTATGATGACTGAAAATTATATAGAAAACCCATATATGTAATACTACTATATTGCTAACGCAGCCTCGTTTTGGGAGTGGGTATGTGCGAAAACAGCGAGATAGGGAATATCGGATCTCTCACTTCCATAGTGAACTCTAAGTGTGGTGCGCATGCGCTGTGCACTATCTAAGTGAAAGATAGATATTCGTCTGCATCGTCGTGTTTTCGCCAACTTTTAATTGGCGTTAGCAGTATAGGAGTATTACATATATGAGGAAACGGTAACCAAATCATACTTTCAGAATTGACGATAATGTACGTGAAAGCAATGTTTTGTATAATGCTGATCTATAGATAGGTAACATATTATTTTTTGTACCTCTACAAACCGTTGCACGTTTCAAATGAGGCATTTCACTATGAAAATAATATTGTACAAAGAAAATTTCCATAAAAAGATTATATAATAAAAGCGTATGATAATATCTTCGAACATATATTGCTGGAAGAGGAATAGGGCGCTGAATGTGAAGTCAACATCTGTGCGAGAGAGAAAGCTATAGAGTCTCAAATGTTCGCAATGCGCATGCGCAGCACTGTCGTCTGTGTGAATTGTACAGTTGGTACGAATGTGTTTCTTACACATTCGTACATTACACAGATGTGTAAGAAACACTACACAACTGTACAATTCGCACAGACGACGGTGCTGCGCATGCACATTGCGAACATTTGGGACTCTCTACCTTTTCTCTCGCACAAATGTTGGCCTCACCTCTATACGGGCCAGCATAGGCAATTTCTCTTCCAGTAGTATATGTTCTAAGGATAATATGCACAAGCTATTAAAACATATGTTTTTTATAAAACATATATACTTTATGCTATGGAATATATAATGTTTAGGAGTATAATCGCGTTTGATAACTGCATTGTTACAAAAATATTGATCTTAATATTATTTTAGTATGTAAAATCTTTCGAATAAGAACGTGCTAATAATAAGATTCTATCATTTGTGAGATTTTTGAAACTGAGGTAAATTACATGAAATTATTAAATAATTTTAAAATATTTCATAGTTTTGTCTTTAATAATTTTCTAATCTAATTCTATATATATTTCTTAATTTTCAATTTTCTAAAAATTTTGTAATAAAATTATTCAAATTCAAGATAAAATCAACTCGAAGTTTCTCTAAAGAGATAAATAGATTTTAAGAAAGATATTTTAATCCATTATAATTTAATTGTTCGAAAAAACTATTCATGTGGTTCGTATGTCAATTTAGTTAGTTTAGTTAACAATTTTATTTTTCTATTTTAGCTTTACTGTGGGTATACCAGAGTGTTAAGAAAGTGCAATTACATCACTTTACCATATATCACATTTATATATCTGTAGTTTACGTAATGCATATAAAATTCAACAATTAGTTTATTATAAACACTTTTTCTTAACGTAAAATAGCATATCTACTTCTTATTATTGTTAGACCATGGGCAAGTATTAATGCTAATGTGTAAATGTACACCTAAGATAAATAACGAAACTATCGACTCTTTATTAAAAGTTTTTTAATACAAGGACCACAACAATTTGAGAGTGGATCAAGGTGAATTTATTAAAATAATTGTTAACTTTTATCCCGACACACGCATTGTATATATATAGAATTACTTACTTGAACACTTAATTAAGGTAACAGAGCATTGTTAGAAAGAAGATATTGTGACCCAGTAGAGTTATGAAATTATGACAAGTGTACTCTCTTTCACCACTATTTGTTGAGTGTAT